CCACAATTAATCATCTCTATGATTATAAAAGGTTTGGATGTAATACTTACAGTATTTGTGATTGGAAACAGTTTATCAATATTTAATATCTGTTAATATCCAATCAAATTCACTATTGGGATAGAAAACGAACTAAACATTTATCATCTTGATAAGGAATTCTTAAACATACACAAAATAATACTGATTAATTCTATTTACAGAAGGCCTCCATCCAACATCCAGTTGGAAAACTTCTGAAGTAGGATTTCCAATAACCGGAATATAAGTCTAAACACATTTCTATTCGCCTGAATGCAAAGAACTGGCAATATAGAAAAGAAACTGATGTATCGAGAGAAATAAAAACTAAAATATTAGTTTAGAGACAAGAATGTAGGTTGTAAATCTAACACAAAATGTGTAATCTCTACACTAAAGAAATATTACATATGAAGGTGGAACTCGGCAGCAATTGATTCGCTGAAATTCTAAAGGTTTCGGATAAACGATTCTTCGTGGTTTGAAAGAGGGACTAGTAGATACATAATAATGTTAATATTATAACGTCTTTTTCGAATATTGCATGCCCATTATTTATTCGTACGGGGAAAATATTTAAACAAAAGAAGTACATAAAGGTTCTCCTATTAAGATTTGGAACTGCAGAAAGATAAGCCACTTACAACTTTCACTTTGTTAAGTTTTTTTGCTTTAAATAGATTTATTTTGACACCAATTTTTGAATTCGTCTCTTTTACATGATTTACAATTTGTATAGTTCGTTTAACAATTTTGGTTTAATTTCAAGCTCAGTAACGATTTCGTCTCCAGTCACAGGCTAGGAACAACGCTATTTAGATGGTGGTTGGAGGTAGTCGACAAAAAACCCTGGTTTCGTGCTACTTGGCACTCGTCAACAAGGTGTGCCTGTAATCTTGAGGGAACCGGTGCTCCCTGGCGTATTCGATCCCGCGTCACCCAGCTTCACAGTCAGAGACGTTAACACTGAGCTATCCGGGCCGCGTCCGACCTCCTGTAGGACTGAGATGTAATCACATTTGATTGATTACTGGGTGGCGATCAATGTCATGTGTGTCAAGTCCTTACTTAGTGCAGTCCAGGGTTTCCTGTCGACTACCTCCAACCACCATCCAATCTCAGTACATACTGCACGCAGTGTCGAGTCACCTAGACTGGTGGCCACATTGCAACATGGTAAGCAGCGAATAAATATAAGCTATCATGACCAATCCTGACTTATATCGCACAACGTCACCAACCACTAATAGCGATGATGATGATGATGATGAGCTTGCTTCCGGTCTACTCATACACCAGCTAGCAATACATGTCATGCTGTTAGTCTGTCTGTCTGTTGTACACTGACTATTCAACACATCACTGGGAGCAGTTTCGCTCTATGATCGTGAAAACCAACATTCCTCAGTTAGGAGTTCTCGATGACATTCTATATTCAACCATCGTCGTCTGTGTATGATTGCTGACGTGCATTAGGAATACCAGTTAGTAATGTGCAGGTTCGTCAGTACATAATTGTGAGCATTGACGACAACCCAATTAGTGTTCCTATGTTGAAACACCTGATTGAATGGCTTGTGTATGTGTGTGTGTGTGTGTTGGAAACGCATTCACAGGAATATGTACATAGACAATTATTTTCCGACTCGTCTATGGTGTAGAGAAAACTGGGAGGTGGCCAGTTCAACAGATAATGTATTTGCAATGCCTCTACAAAATGAAATTCATTTTCATAAAGCTAGTTTCCATCAGACCAAACAATGGAACAAGTCAGTTGACAGTATAAAGAACAAAAGTATCATAATTGCGGAGTAAATCAAATGAATACTTTCTCAATCAATGAGGTATAATTAACATATTATCTGTCACCAATTTGTACCGATTTGAGTCACCACATTTCACATATGTAGAGTGGGGAAGGAAATTAGTATAATCATATGATAGGATGAAAAGACAACTGAACGTAGCTTAATAATATCACGTCATATATTATCCCATATATCATTGGTCCTATAGTATCCCCAAGCAGTACTTATGAATGTGTATGTTCAATAAGTTATGACTTTTTAGTTACTAATATCTGAAATAATACATGCAGGATGAAAAGGAAGTTCATTGAAGACAACATCTCAGTAACTTTCCAACCTGTTTACGGAAAGTCGGCGTGATTTACCTTCTGCCATGATGACTATAATTGTAATCAAGTAAATACCCCCTACGAAACAATTTTGTCACTGCTCACATAAATATGACTTGGTGTTATGAATGCTGAGGAATAATGTGCCAATCATTAGACTTAACATGATAATGATTGGTATATTCCTCATCATCCCTAACACTTGGTTTCTTTGTTAAGTGATCATATAACCATTTTGATTACAATTTCGTCACTCTTTCTTACGATTTAATTATTAGTAAGCATAACATCATCCCTATTTCTCTATATCATCATTATTATTATTAACCTCTATACATATTAATCAATGTTAACTATATTTAATCATATTTCCTGTATCATGTTCCTCTTGAATTTTAGTTCCATTTCGAAAATTCATCCGAACACAACTGATTATGTTAAACCCTTATTTATAATTGTTATTAGAGAATAGATTTTTCTTTACCGGAAAATTCCCATCATATTAAAGCACAGACACGTGAACAAAGAATAGTCTTTTCAATAAATTCTCTTCAGGTTCAACAATTATATACCCAAATTAATAATCCAAAAAGTGGCAGAATCCATCGTTTAAATATAATAGCATATGAATTAAGGATTGTAAAATAAAATAAAATCGTTAGTGTTAGGATAACTAATATAAATTGTTGACTTGATTTAGTTGATACGTTAAATGAAATTGTGAGATAAATAATGATCTGAATAAACATAGTTAGCATGGGTTGAGAGAGAGAGAATAATGTAATTAAAAATTAAAAATCACGTAATACACAGAATGATATGAATGAAGTACAAATTAGTATAAAGAGATTGATGGTGAATAAACTTCTCCAAAACGTTAGCAAGCATTATATTAGTAGTAATGGCGTATAAGCTTATTGAAATCAACACTTCATATCAGTTATCCCAATATTGATGATTTCATCTTATTTAACAATACAAACAATTTTAAACTCAATTCACTTGGTATCGTTTTTCTTGAATCTTCCCATTGATGTTTTAGGACTGAAAATGATCAGTCTCTTATTGGCATATGTGCCAACTGTGCGTATGCCTCGATATTGCCTTAATTTACAAGCATTATAAGCAAAGATAGATAGTGGCTAGTAGTGGAATCCAGGACGCGCGTTTCCTCCTGTTTGAAACTCGCCTTTGCTTATAATGCTTGTAAATTAAGGCAATATCGAGGCATACGCACAGTTGGCACATATGCCAATAAGAGACTGATCAATTTCAGTCCTAAAACATCAATGGGAAGATTCAAGTAAAACAATACAAAGTGAATTAAACTTCACCCCATTGCACAAGCAAGCGGCCATCACGACTCAGTAGCTAAGTGGATAACGTGATGGCGTTTGAAGCGAACGGTACTGAGTTCGAGTCCCAGAGTGAACATCAACTATGAGGTACGGGTACATCCAGCTGATGAGTCCCAAACGAGACGAAACGCGCGTCCTGGATTCCACTGCTAGCCACTATCCATCTTTGATCAATTTTAAACTCACATGCTATAATTTTGAAACGATGTACTTTGCCTTAAACCTAGTCCACTTTTAGAGTCTTAATTGGGATATATAACTGTAGAACCTGAAGAGAATTCATTGAAAATAATATTCTTCGTTCATGTACCATGTTTATAATTTTATTATTATTTGTATAATTACTAATCGTACATACAATGAATTTATTTCATTCTATAAACCGCGTTCTTTTTGTACTGTTTAGCAATCTGTTTACGTTTTGTAAATAAAACCTATCACTAAAAGCCAAGAGATAGACAGGTTTACATACACATATATATGCTAATAGTACTAATATGACCAATAAGCCTGGAACATAATTCTACCGCATTTATTACGTATATTTTTCTTATAATATGTAAAGATTGTACGTGAAATGGACTGTTGGCACTACAGAAACTACCAAATAATTGCTTACAAAGAAAGAGCAGAAGGATAAGTCACCGATATCCTCATACACAAAATGAAGTATGTGTCAATTAGCTTTACCATCAACTGATAATTGCATGGCACATCCGCTTGATAAAACTCTAATACAAAAAAAACTCTACAGACAATAGAAGTAAATCATGATATGGGAAATATCTCAGAAAAAAAAAGTACAATAATCAACAATGCCTACAAATACACACAAAAACTCAAAACAGAAAGCTACGTAGATTGAAACCTGGTATGTATAAAGAAAACCAGGCATATGTTATCTTTTTTTTATTTTAACATGAATTAATAATGGATTTGATGTATACACATATACAACATAATCTTAAGACAAATGGAAAACAGATAATCGTAAATGTAGATCTTTATTTTCAGAGAAATAAATAAATAATTATAAAAATAAACTAATTTGACTGGTACAAATGGCGCGCAAAACACAAGGAAAGTAAGTAATAAAGAAAAACACGATAAGAAAAAGGGAAAGATAAATAGGTGGAAATTATGCACTCAATTGTAAAAGTTCATACGTATCTTGAGCCATGGAAATTACAAACTACGCGGACTTTGTCAACCGCATAAATAGAAACTTTTGTACAGCAGAAAACGAAACTGATTTTCAATTCAATCATTTCGTGAATCACGATATTCTGAGAATAAATAAGCAAAACTGAGATTCCGATTACTTTTTACTGTACACATAAAAAGATATATATATTCGAATGAGTCAAAATTAAATGAACGTTTTTTGTGTATAATTTTGTAATGTATACATTCATATGTACCGATGGTAAATTTTGGGGAAAAGAGAAATACAAAGTACCTGGTAAAAAATTTCTTAACTATTATCAATTACGAGAACTATTTCGTGTACGAAGTGAAGTTTTGTAAGTGTTGTCTTGAACTGACGACTTTACGGGTGTATTTTTATTATTGTGACGCATAGATGATGGTCGACCAATACGGAATATATATATATTAAGAAAGTCAGCCAACTGTATGCATACATCAGCATCATATAATATGATATTCACAGCTCCAAATGTCTAGAATTTATAAATAATAAGCAAATAATAACTTATTTCGATTGAGGTTTTATTTTTTAAGGCATGCTAATTAAAAAATATAATGAAATTATATTTAAATTACTCGAAAGGATTTTCGCTTTTCAATATCCATCTTCTTGTCCCACAGGTAAATAGGGTATATCGAATGACATAGTGAATAGGACATATATTGCGCATGCCAATCCACTGACTACCTTGACGGTAGACGATGGCTAGTATAGGTTGGAAGATAGCTACGGGTGGGAAAGCCAAGACGTGTGACCAGTCCGTGAAGACATTGACTGTTGGGCTAAGCCATGTAAGTGTAGGTGTACACTACCTGGTTAGGGTCCCCGTGATTGCCGTATCCAGTGGTTAGACTGTAAATGATGGGGCTTAAAATTTTGTTTGACAGTCCCACAGATACCTTCACTTTTTGGTCTCTATTCAGAACCTAGGTTTCTAAATGCCTTATAAATTTATTTATTCCAGTGATTTATATTTTCTACTGGAATCGTATCTTCGATGACTAATCTTTCCTATTACCGTCGATTCTATCACTTTAGGATTTTCGCTGACAATTTTATCTCACTATGCTACTAGGGTATTGCAGCTTGAATTGTTGTACAAATATGGCAGGTTTTACGTTGCGTTTAGTTAAATGACTGATAAATATACTTTTGAAAGTAATCATAAATTGTGAGGAACTTGTCTCTGGATAGAACGTTATCTGACTGGTTTAGATAACGCAAAAAACGCATTCTTTTTAGAATGAAATCTAAATAGACTGTCGTCTTCCGAAAACCTTGATTGGATAGTGTAAGGATAGCAAAGGTGTCATTACTATCCTCCAAAGAAAACTTTGTTTTTGGACTGCGCTATACAGTGAGTTTTTCTAAATACATTATCTCAGTCTCTTTATTAAGTAAATTTGCACAGTTAGAGTAGCGCTATCTATCCTTAGTTAACATATTTATACTATGCTCAGCGGATGGACCAATTGAATAGTCTAAAATGTTGACCACTTCAGATATTTCTAATAAAGAAGAAGCTTATGTCACATATGGTGAGTCAATGGCCGAAGAAATCACTTCCTGAATAAAAATGTCTTTTAGCATTTGGCAATTTAAATTACCTTACCGAATTGACCAAAGGCCAACGACCAGGATTTTCCAACCAACTCTGTCCTGAGCTCTCTTTTCCAGTTGTTTCTAAGTGTTATTTATTCTTTTGACCACTATCTTCCATTCCCAGCGCAATGTGTTTTTTGGTATGTCTCTTTTCCTTTTGCCTTTGATCACTTCCGTAATATGTGTCCTATATACCTTCGGCATCCTTTCCTAATTTTCTCTTCAGATAATAGCTGGGTTTTTTCTCTGCCATAGTAGATTTTTGATGATGGTATCCGACCAATGGACATTGAGCATCTTATGTACACAATTGTTTAGAAATAGTTTAACTTTTTTGATGGTTTTAGTAGTTCTCCACGTTTCATCTCCGTACAGTAGAACTGTCTTGACGTTCCTATTGAGGATTCTTTGATGTTGGCTTGCAGACAGTTGTTCAGAGTTCCACAGGTTCTTTAGTTGCAGCAATGCTACCCTCGCTTTGCATCTGCATCAGACTCTTCTTGCTTATCGATGATGTTGTCTTGGTACGTAAAACGTTCCACCTCTTCCAGAGCTACTTCATCAAACGTGACTTGGTTGGTGCTGACTGTGTCATATTTCGACATCTTGATTTTTCCCTGGTATACGTTGAGGCCTACTGCTGCAACATTGGCTGTCTTTACCTGCACGTGTGTGGGATAGAAGGGATGGACCATCTGTGAAGCACAAATAATCTGATCGCATCCAAGCTGTCCATTGCATTCCGTGCTTCCCCGCAGATGTAGAGATTTTCATAATCCAGTTAACCACAAGAAGAAAAAGTGAGAGAGTAATCAGCCTTGTCTGATTCCGGTCCTTACTTAAAATGCATCTGTCAGCTGTTCTCCATGCACGACTTGGCACTGCAGTCCGTCTTATGAATTCCGGATAGTGTTGACGATCTTCTCAGGTACTCCATAGTGTCGAAGAAGTTTCCATAATGTTCTCCTATCCACGCTATCAAACGCCTTCTCATAGTCAAGGAAAGTGATGTATAGTGACGAGTTCCATTCAAATAATTGTTTGACGATCGTCTATAGTGTCATGATTTGGTCTGTGCACGACTGATCCTTACGGAATCCGACCTATCAATCTCGAAGCAGGGAGCCTACTGGATCTTTCATCCGGTCCAGCAACACTCTGTTGAGGACTTTTCCTGGTATCGATGGTAGTGTGATTCGTCTATAGTCCTCACACAAGCTGAGATCTCATTTCTTGAGTATCTTGATGAGGTACCTTTCTTCCCAGTCTGTTGGCAATTGTCCTTCCTCCCAAATCTTTCTGAGGGGCATGTTTGCAACATCTCTATATCTAACATCAGTGCTTCAGATGGTATACTGTCAGGACCCGCTTCTTTTCCACTCCTGATTTGTCTGACAGCCATCCTGATTTCTCCGATTGTAGGTGGGGTAGCAGCTATAAAGTCTGTGTGAGTTCAGTGTGGCTGGTCTATTTAGTCCTAAAAATTTTCTACCCATCTGTTCCGGTGTTCGTGAATCTCAGTGATTGTCTCGCTTTCTTTGTTTTTGGCTGGTTGCTTTGGCTTACTATATTTCCCTGTCAGTTTATTCTTTGTATCATATAGTTGACCCATTTGAGTTCTGTTGTAGCCTTTTCCGCTATCATTGCTAGGTCTTCAATGTACTACTGATTATGGGTTCTAATGCTCATTTTTCGTCGCTCGTTTACTTTTGCTTATTCAACCTGTGCCTTGGCTTTCTCTTACTATTATGAGCTCACCCGAAATTTTATGTTTCCAATGTTTCAGTTTTACATGTCACTGAGACGCAATAGTCACCCATACATGTGATTTTTCACAACCCAACTCCCCAGTTTAATTGGCTTATAGTGTTAGCAAATAAACGATATACAGAAAAAAGTATACGCTTTATCAGTGAAATTTTTCACATAAAGGTAATTAAGAAAACCAACACTAACTCACCAAAGATATCCATAGAACTAATACTTCAGGCAAGGGACACGAAAAATATTGATTAATGACTAACAAAGCTGCCCCAAACATAACCGCGTCAAACAAATAGATAGCACTTTTAGTCATATGAGCAATCTATAAAATTAAATTAGATCAGCAAGATCGAGTTGGAACAATAAAAACGAATAGCAACAAAAGGTGAGGTGATAAAATTAGATTTGGAATACAAAAAAATTTAAAATAGTAACATATGGATATGTACACGTTCCATTATCACTAAGTTATGATTAATGTTGAAAAATGACGATTAATACTACTTGTCTGATGGGTGCCGAATTTAAAACCATAGCTTAATGGTTTCAAAACCAACTATCTAGAGAGCCAAGTACCTCCGTTAGCCAACAAAAACTCAAGCAACAGGATGAAAACTATTTAATTGTCTGTCATTATCTTGGTACTTTAGAACTTTTTAGAGTATGTATTGACTACAAATCGTCACGTGGAATAACTCCAATAGAAAACTCAATATGATGATACTGTATATAATGGTATAGTCAATAGATCGAATAAAACACAAATTCAATGAAATGAGATTGAATATAAAAACAGTAAGTTACTAGTACATATAGATCTAACAACTAACGGTCGCTAAATACTTTTTTTATTCATTTACACTCGCTGTGTACATAAAAAGGAGGGAAAATTTGTATGCAAGATAACGAATACCTAAAAAGAAATATTGTTTGAATTGAAGCCATCGTCACCAATGGTGGGAGATGCTGAATGACATATTTTAGAATTGGTTGCAGTGGCGCAGATGCATTTACTCTGTATCACCTCTTAAATCCTGAATTTCTAAATTATCTATGAATTTATTCTTTATCCTTGAATCATGTCATCCATACTTAATCATCCCTGCTGATAGTATTACTATAGGCTCAACAGACATTGCGAATTTAAGGTTGGCCTCGTGACCACAAAGAGGAATAGTTTTAAAGATTGATGGTTAGTCCCGAATCAAATAACGCAGGCCACCTTCTGCAGTTTTTTGTAGATTACAACAACTTTACCCTTCGCTACTTTTAAATTATATTGGATGTTTAATTAATTTTTACGAGTTATTTTGCCTGTGTTGCTGTGACTTACATCGAGAGTAACTGTCATCATCTTTTCACCCATAAAACACAAGTTCGTTCATCGGTCAGCTATCAACTTAAAATATGACTTTTCCTAGTGTTTCAATTGTCATATCTATTTTGCCGAACAGTAAGTGCGTGTTCTAATTTTAGTGACATATTCTTCATGCCAATTAAAACTAAAAAGAGGGAAACCTTAAAATATGGAGTACTCACTGTATTCCCCTAAAACTTTTTTCATATTTTTACGAAAATCATTAAACGAAACACGTCGTATAAAGAGGGACAAAAATTATAGGACATATATGACGATAAGAGTTTCTCCAAGTACACTGTTACGAGAATCGTAAGTAGTCCCAGTAAAAAAGGGGTTAACTGATAAGAGAATTTTAATACATACTATCAAATTACATGAATTAGATAAAGACTTGTAGTCCTTACTTTCATCGTTAATGGAAATCACTTCTTTACTGTTAAGTAAATAAAGTTTCTATTCGCTAGATAATACTTACCACTAAACGTTGAGAAACTTTTGCTGAAACAATCCCAAACGTCAACAGGAAAATAAAAGGTGATTGGTGATAAAGATTCACCGGAGAATTAATAGCAACCAAAACAGGAAAACCAAGTGCAAGTGTAAGAGGGCAAACTGGAAATAGTACACTAGTATTCTAAAACAGAGGTGAAAAGTGTGATCATTAATTATTACGCTCTTAACAAATAGAATTCAACAAATCAATAAAAACTAAAAACGAACTCACCCGACATGTTTACATTTTTTTTTACTGAAAAGAACTTGTTTATGTAAAAAAAATTGGTCATATACAACAACTAATCATATTGGTATTCTGAACTACACAATATAAAAGTTAGCGGATAGCGTATTAAAGTTTGTACTAAGGTCTATTGAACTGGAAATCAAATACGAAAATGTAGTGGAAAATAGATCACTCTGATTCAACTAGCCGAACTTAAAGAGAAACGGGGAATTATATCTCACCATTTATTCACATAATCGATGTTTGGAATGTATTGAAATGTATTTGAAGAGTGATGCAAACAAGTAACAAGAGCCCGAATGCCCTGGTATGGCTGAGTGGAGTGGGCCTGTCCTCCCTCTCGAAATGCTCTCACACAGCCACGCGTATATAGCCTCTGCCAGGGAAGTCCTACTCACTGCCTTCTCGTGGCGGGGGTGTTGTTTACGAAAATGGGTGGACGAAAAGTGAATGTCCGGCGCTTTAACCGGATCCCAAACCAATCGTGCACATGGGCTCCAGTATCCTGAGGGAACAAACGGTGTATGAACCAATCGTTGGTCACCGTCCACCATGGGACTGCATCTCCTCACGATGCTCCACTGCCTTGTGGGTCAGACATTTAGGTCAAAGGTTCGGGGTGTGGTCCCCTAAGAAAACCACCTGCTTCGGTATGGGCACCCGGACAGTATCACAGTTCACACACAAATAAAATGAAAATGACGACAATTACTGAAAATTCTATTCACGCTTCAACTAACAGTCAAACAATTCACATTATTATTATTATTTACCAAGTCACTTATTCACTCTTTTATTCCCACTTTGTGTATCCTTATTTTTCGACATATACAGCAGCTCGCCCATGGTGGAAACTCGGTTCTATCTAAACGTTCTCGAGCCACTGCCTGGTTGACAACTGTATGCTACCACCGAATACGAATACTGAGGCAGTTTTTCTGAAACCACGTGCGCCATTCAAACTGGCTGCCTTCAACGTTCGCACATTTATGCAGGTCGGACAACAGATAGGGCTGGCTATGTCTTTAGAAAGTCTTAATATTGATGTTTGTTGTCTATCCGAGACCCGTATTCAAGACTCTGGCGAAGTATTACAAATTCGACCTCCATCTGTCGCTTCAAAAAGCTTGTTTTACGTGCGCTTATCCGGGGACCCTGTGGCATCTTCGTCTGGTCTTGATGGCGTTGGTGTTGCACTAAGCGCTAGAGCTGAGGCAGCACTAATCGATTGGATCCCCATTAACAGTCGGTTATGTGCTGTTAGATTAGAAAGTTCCATCAAAGTGAGAAGAAATCGGCGTGAGAAACGATGTCTTTTCGTCATCTCCGTTCATTCAGGTATTGGGGTTAGGTAGGGTCGCTCAATCTCACTATTCCTCTTCAGCTTTGCCATCGATAACATTCTGGAAACAGCTCTGATGGATGTAGGTAATGGCGGTGTGGATCTGTTGCCTGGAGAAAGACTTCTCAACCTTGAGTATGCGGACGATATTGTCTTACTGTGCGATAATGCCCAAGCCATGCAATCCCCACTTAATCAGTTGGCAATCAGTGTCCGTAGGTACGGTATGTGCTTTGCACCTCAGTCAGTCGGTCAGGAACAACGTAGAACTTCGTACGTACGTACATCAGCTCGAGTTGCCACACCACATGAGCACAGAGATGCAGTTGTCGATTCAAATCCCGTAGTGGTAGAGGCGGTAAGAGTATAAGCAGTCATAGGAAAGATTAGGGTGTGAAAATGTTATTTAAAGGGTATAATCCAGTGAAATAAATTTGGAAAGAGAAAAAAGAGACATGGAGAATTCAAGAGATCAGAATTTGCACCTTCGAAGTGCAAAGCGCTTCTACACGACTGGCAGGATTCTAATCCTGTACTCACCCTGGATGATGAGCAGATGGAAGTAGTCGAGAAGTTCGTGTATCTAGGTAGCTGTATAAGTGCTGGTGGTGGCGTGAGTGACAAGGTCGATTCACGTATAATGAAAGCCAGAGCGGCTTATGCCAATCTGGGCCATCTTCGGCGCCTTCGTGATGTCAGTCTGGCTGTAAAACGTCTGATCTACAACGCGTCGGTGAGAGCAGTTTCGCTCTGTGCTTGTGAAACCTGGCCTCTCCGAGTTGAGGATGTTAGACGGCTCTGTGTTTGATCATCGTTGTCTCCGAAGGATTGCTGACATCCAGTGGCAACACTATGTTAGTAATGCAGAGGTTTGGCATCGTGTGTTCGGGCACAGAGACGACGATCCAATTGGTGTCACCATCTTGAAACACCGACTTCAGTGGCTTGGACATGTTCTACGAGTGTCATCCCAGAGAATTCCACGTCGTGTATTATTTGCTGACGCTGGGACTGGTTGGAAAAAGGGGAGAGGTGATCAGTGTATGACATGGTGTCGGGGTATGAAAGAAAGCTGCAAAGGGCTGGCTTTTGTTGGTCCTTCACGACTCCCTGGCTCCTGACTGGGGTCCGAGAGATGGTGCAACACAGTGGCTAGAGACGTTATCAGACATGGCTCAGAGTAGAAGCCAGTGGCGATCCTGCTGTAACCTACTTTTACCTTCTTCATAAAAGGTGGTTGTATCTTCCTTAACTGAAAGATTTCTTCTGGTTGTGCCTTTCCGTTTCCCCCATAATTACTATTATTATTATTATTATTATTATTATTATTATTATTATTTTACACCACCTTACACTAATCTCGCCGTTATTGTTCTTTTTTTCTTTTACACTTCTTACCCTCCTTTTTTCTCTTTCCATTCTCACTGTTTTGTGTGGCGCATGTATATTTGGTGCCCCCTTGTACCAATATTTATATGTTCAAATAAATAATAATAAATAACAAGTAACCAAGTAAGGGTTTCCGTATACAACTTTGAGCTATACTTATTCTATGGTAGTTAGTTCCATAATATAGTACAGAACGAAAGGAATAAAACAGAGATTCTATTTTCCCTAAACTTTCAGTAACATATTGGAAACCAGAACATACTCTTTAAAGAATCCTTAATCCTTCGTTCATTTTTAAAAGTGATTATGTGAAGTGTCCCTAGCTAAAATACATACTGGCTGTATTTCTAAACGCAAAATTTCAAACTTTGAGATCAACTCACAGCAACAGTTGTCCCGTATTTACCACAACCACCTTGAGAAATAGTATCAGCGAACTGAACCGCCAGAAAAAACATGACAACAGAGAACACGAGGAACTGAACAACCTTGAGTTCCAAACCGAGAAGTGGATCCTACACAAAGATTGCAGCATAACAAAACATTCATGATAAGTGACAAAAAGAAATCAAATATTAACAAAACAAAACACAATACGGAAAGATAAGATAAGAGATAAGATAATCTTACCAAATTTCTATACAACCTTGACAAGAAAATGATTCTAAAAAAGTATACTGGGAGCTAGGGATTGACCGTTGCTCCTACCTTGACGTGGTGGTTTGCCTATCGTAGTGAACCATTCGAGCTATACTTACTGGAACAATCGTTACCCAATGTCCTGCCATGTCAGGCAGGTCGGTTGAAGAGTGGCAGGACTAAAAGCAGCAAACGTAAGGTCCGAGGGCGAAGTCGTACTGCAGACCGTACAGAGGATTGACAGCAGTAAGGTGTTTCCCTCAGACAACCAACATAACAGGGATGCTACCTTCACACAAAGGAAGAGTGTTGTTAGAAAACGTCCACCCCAAAAATGCACAACTCGCCTTATCCCACGGATTTCCGTCTCCGGTGATAAAGTCCCAACAAATACGGAGCTACTCACAAAAAGATCTGCGTGACCGGCCACAAACAGTTGTCCCTTGGACAATGCGGTCACACCCTCAGGTCACTAAGACCAACTCTAACCCAATTTCCTTTTCAGATACCTATAGAAGAATCCTTCCATGATGTAAGCATCCGGAAAGTGATAACTGACTTTATACTTGTAGCAGCAATTAAGGCCACCGTAATCATAATCACTTCGAAAAGCTATAGCTAATCTAAAACAAGAAAAAGCAGCTGGTCTAGAAGTCTTTAATGATGGTGCTTCAGTTTTAGTGACTAAGTTGACTAATGATTTAGCTAAAATCTGGGAATTGGACGTACTTCCATCTGACTGGTCGCAATCACTCGAACATTACCAGTCGAATCAGAGCTTATGGCGAGCTGTCATCTGATATTGCAACCTCAAATGATATCCGGCAAGGCCATTCACTATCTCCATTTTTGTTTAATTTCATCACAGACCTACTGCTGAAAATAACGTTCTCATCGACTGGATTTTCAGGAATTGATTATTATTATTATTGGTTTTATTCAATATTATATTTTGGTACAATATAAAATTCTCAGCACGAGGTATTTTAACGAGTTTCTTTTACAAAAACAAAAACAACAAAAAGAAAAAGGTGAAAAAAGATCTGGGTCTGTACAAATTTTCAATTAGAGACATGTTTAAGGACTAGGCCAATCATAACAACCTGTTCGTCACAGAGTATATTTGCTAGGTAAGGTATTATAGAACTTTTATACGTTTGCTTGCGTGCATGGATTCTAATATATTGACGTCTCGTTCTATCAGAAGATCGACCGTTGTTGCTACCTTGACGTGGTGGTCGGGCTTGCCTATCGTGATGAAGCAACCGAGCTATACTGGCTGGAACAACCGTTCCCAAGGTCCTACCATGTCAGACAGGTCGGTTGAAGAGCGGTAAGACTAAAAGCAACAAACCCAAGGTCCGAAGGCGAAGTCGTACTGCTGACTGTACAGAGGTGTGACAGCAGTAAGGTGTTTCCTTCAGACAACCAGCATGACAGCGATGCTGCCCTCCCACAAGGAGGGGTGGGGTTAGAAAAGGTCGACCCTAAAAATGCACACCTCGCCTTATCCCACGGATATCCGTCTCCGGCGGTAAGGTCTCAATAAGTACGGAGCTAACACAAAAATTACCCATAACAAGGTCGTGTGTGACCGACCTCAAGCAGTTGTCCCTTGGGCACTGCGGTATCTGTGTATCTGGTGACCCGATGGCAAGTTCTCGTGGACTGGCAGGTGTAGGCATAGCACTAAGCATGAGGGCCGAACAAGCACTGCTAGAGTGGATCCCCGTCAACAGTCGTCTATGTGCTGTTCGGCTGAACGGCTACGTAAGAACTCGGAAGGATAGGAACACACGTCGTTGCCTTTTTGTCGTTTCTGCCTACGCTCCCACTGACTGCAGCTCAGATGATGTGAAAGATGAATTTTACAGAAAGCTGTCCGAACTTCTTCAGAAAGCTAAACGCTCAGACATAGTACTCGTAGCCGGTGATTTTAATGCTCAGATAGGCAGTTTAAACCAAACAGAAAGGCATTTAGGTGGATATTTTAGTATTCCGACACAGCGAACAGATAATGGTGATCGTCTGCTGCAGCTATGCTCAGACAATCGTTTATTTTTAGCAAACACAAATTTTAAGCATAAGGAGAGACATCGTTTAACATGGCGACCCCCTACACCAAACCAACGATGGACTCAAATAGACCATATTGCCATCAGTCATCGTTGGAGAGGGTCGGTAGAAGATTGCTGCTCATTCTGGAGTAACTGGAATTAATAAGTCAATCGTAAGTGAGATTATTTCGGAAAATGACGATACTCTCATCTGCTCCCAGTTCAGACGTTTAGAACGATAGGCAGAACATTTCAGAGAACAGTTCAACTGGCCTTCAGCTACTCTACAACTACCCTCCATTCCCAGACAATGTGAATGGAACATTGAAGTAGGTCCCCCAACTCTTGCTGAAGTTCAAAAGACTATAGTTAATCTGAAACGAGGAAGGGCAGCTGGTCCAGATGGATTGGCTTCAGAAGTCTTTAAGGATGGTGGTCCAATTTTAGCGATTAAGTTGACTAATATTTTAGCTAAGATCTGGGAATTAGACTTTATCCCATCTGACTGGTCGCAATCACTTATCGTCCCAATATATAAGAGAGGGTCAAAATCATCCTGTGACAACCACAGAGGGATTAGTTTAACAAATATAGTATCTAAAATACTAGCCTCGATACTTATCAGACGCTTAACTAAGACTCGTGAACTGCAAACACGAGAGAACCAAGCTGGCTTTAGACCTGGTCGTGGCTGCATCGACCACATATTCACCATTCGTCAGGTTCTAGAACACACGCATACTTATCGGCGTCCGACAATGGTGGTCTTTCTCGACTTAAAACCAGCATTTGACTCGATAGACCGCGAGATTCTGTGGCAGTGTCTGTCATCGAAAGGCGAACCCCAGAAGTTCATAAACCTTGTAAAGGCTCTTTACTCGAACACTACTAGTCGAGTCAGGGCTTATGGCGAACTGTCATTTACTTTTGCAACCTCAAGTGGTGTCCGTCAAGGCTGTCCACTTTCTCCATTTCTGTTTAACTTCATCATAGACCTATTGATGGAAATAACACTCTCGTCGACTGAATTCTCGGGTATTGATCTTCTTCCAGGAGGTCCACTTATCGACGTAGAATACGCAGATGACATAGTCCTGTTTGGTGAAGACGCTGATAAAATGCAGAGTCTTCTGGCAGCACTGAGCAACAATGCCAGAATGTTTGGGATGTGCTTCTCTCCCTCTAAATGCAAGTTGTTGCTTCAGGACTGGTCTGGGTCAACACCTGAACTAAGGATAGGGAGTGAAGTAGTTGAACGCGTTGACAACTTCACTTATCTTGGAAGTCTGATTAGCCCTAATGGGTTGGTGTCTGACGAAATCTCAGCACGGATTCGAAAAGCTCGTTTGGCTTTTGCCAACTTACGTCATCTTTGGCGAAGGCGAGATATTCGTCTATCAATAAAAGGGCGAGTATACTGCGCGGCAGTTCGTTCTGTTTTACTTTACGGCAGCGAAACATGGCCCTTAAGAGTAGAAGACACCCGTAAGTTACTAGTATTTGACCACAGATGCCTTAGAAATATTGCTGGCATCTGCTGGGATCGCCGGGTAAGTAATAGTGAGGTTAGACGCAGGGTATTAGGGAATGATGGTAAATCAGTTGATGAGGTTATGAATCTTCATCAACTGAGATGGTTGGGCCACGTATTACGTATGCCTGAACACCGATTACCACGACGTGCAATGCTAACCGGGGTAGGGGATGGTTGGAAGAAAGTTAGGGGCGGCCAAACCAAAACGTGGCATCAGTGCCTGAAGTCACTAACTTCTAGTCTGAGCCATGTTGGTAGATGCAGACTACTTGGTTGGGGTCCGCGTGACTTTCGTAACCAATGGTTGGAGACTCTTGGTGACATGGCTCAGAATCGATCACAATGGCGTAGGTGTATACACTCCCTGTCTTCTTTTAAACTAAGAGACTAAAATCACTTCATTCTTTCTGTCTACGAACTAATTCTTTCTTCCTATACTATATCCTTATTGCAACCTTTGACCTAACCACTCCTATGAATCCGCTGTTCATCTTGCTGTGCTAATGAGGTATGGCAACCTGGACCGATGCACATATGTGCCTGGTCCTACGTTGTAGCTGACTGACTGACTGATCAGAAGATATACAAGGAGAAAGATGAATGAAGGGGATAGTTAGTATCTGATAAGATAGTACCGTGCTAACTACTTTCAGCACTCTGCGCGATACGGTAGTCTTTTCTCAAAAACCCGAGAAAGAATAGTGAACAGTAAAGAATAATAGGTAATATGCAGGAACTGAAAAATTGTAAGAGTAAATGACGAGTAATCGCAAGAGCATGCAGCCTCTTCATGTAGTAAGTCAGACGAAAACGTTTCTTCGATAACAATAAAACATAAGACCAAGAGCGATCAGGGGAAAAGGTAACACCAAGATAATTGACCTTCGACACAGTGTTTATCAAAGAGTCTCCAACGGCACAAGCACTATGGGATCCCAAAATGGTGTTTAAGTGTTGTTCATGCCTCAGGCTAAAGTTAATAGCTTGACGTTTAGACGGATTAAGTATGAGAACATTAACAGACCACCGCCTGATAGAAGTTAGGGGTGGCCAAACCAAGACGTGGCATCAGTTGTTGGAGTCACTAACTTCTAGTCCGAGCCATGTTGGTATATGCAGACTACTTGGTTGGGGTCCTCATCACTGTCGAAACCATTGGTTGGAGACTGAATGACATGGCTCGGTATCGATCACAATGGCGTCGGTGTATACACTCTTCATCTTCCCTTAAACCGTGAGATTAAAACCAGTCCATACGTTTATTTCTACGAAATAATTTTTTCTCCTCGTATAATATCCTCATATGCAATCTTTATATATTACTACCATTGGAATAACTGCCTTTATGAATTTAGTGTTCATCTTGTGCGAGTGAGGTATGGTAACTTGGACCGATGCATATGTGCCTGGTCCTACATTGTAGATGACTAACTGTCTGAGGACAACAGCAATATAACTTTTAATAACGATATACTTTCTAAGAAACTCTAAGTTTATGCCCTTATTCATGAACTACACCCATGTTAAGTCTCCGAGATCCAGGTTGATAAAAAACAGTCTAACACTGTGGATGTGTTAAGATTTGAAATAAATGAATTACACAGCTAGTTATGTGCAAGTCCCGTATTTACTTATTTAATATATAATGATGCAATTGAGTATCAATGTTCTTACTATAGAACAATGTATTACTTGATCCTTTAACTCGAATTAATATTTTCTAAATGCAGACTACATATTCCGCTAACCAGAAGCAATAAAAACCAATCCCTCCCCGACTTCCGAAAATTCATGCTCATGATTATCTAGTTTATCAATACTCTATGAAATATACATATGTGAGAAATGTACACATTTGAAAAGCAATTATTCAAGGGAAATTGTCTTAAAAAGGATTGGTAGGATCAACCTCATACGGTAGTCTAACACCAACCATGTAAAGAGCTTTACATTTATGTTGAGAAGACAAGTAATTATCAGAGCTTTTTTATGTAAAGATCATTTGGATACCAGTGTTACATTAAATGATTACGTTTCGCAAGAACCTTAACTTGCTAGCATTAACGTGGAAAAAAACATTGGTTGAACCGACTTTAGATGGACGGCAAACAACCTGGTCGTAGGATTTGACCTTGTTCATTGTAACAACCGTTAAATTATATTGGCTGGAACATTCCTTGAAATTTCACCAGGGGTAACGGTAAGATCAAAAGCGGTAAATCTAAGGTTGGAAGGCGAATTCCTACTTCCAACCGTACTGGTTTGTAGTGGAAATAGTGCTTTCCACAAACAACTAGCATTTTTAGTAACGATCCTTTCCCATAGCTCAAAAGAGTAATTTACAAAATCTTTCAAATGTAACAAAACTAGCATTAGTGAAATGAAAATAAGAGGAAGTCATCTTGACGGAATAATTATTACCATGAAATCTAAATATCAGAGATCAATTATACTGACAGTGGTTTTCGTTTACCGTATTCTCAATTTTGAAATCTATGGCGACTACTTTTCCCGCAATCTTTTTGTACTTATACGTAAAAACCAGTGTTTTTAGCGCTGTCAAAAATTCTCGCGAAACAACTACGTAATAGGTTCTAACAGGACAAAGTCCGACTAAATCAGTTTTGGAAAATATAAAATAAGATTCTTTGTGAGTAAAAGGAAGGATTCACTAAGGATAGTAAACAAAACTCACTTTTATACTCCAAATAGATGGACCGAATATCGAAGATATCGTCCCAAATAAAATTCCAATTAAAAGTCCCTCTGTCACTCCGACTCTGCAAAACTCTAAAATTATGCTTACTTACCGGTCAAATGCAAGAACTCCCGTGACGTAACACCGCCAATGGGCTACATAAAATAAAGCTTGGATGCAGAAGTATTGTATGAACATCAACATAGGCCAGTCATCAAAACCAATGATGATGAAATAACTTATGGGGAGGATGCCTAAGCTGTTAGACCGTATAGATAGAATTACATGTGGATAAAGCATCACAACCATGGTCGAACAGTTCACCAAGCTGAGAGCACGACCCTGTACGGCGAGCTTGTAGGCCATCTAAGGCATCTAAAGTTTGATACGCGAATACACACACTACAAACACCAACGAGGTGAAGAAACAAGCCTTAAAAAATGTGATTGATACATTCGCATACCCCATAAGACAAAAGCAAGCATAAAGCAAATACATTGGCGAGAAAACCAAGTAATGTGAGAATATTTGGAGCAATATATCTCGGTATATACAGAGAAGATATCCGCCAAAAGTCCTTAAGTAGGTTGTCACATATGCTTTCTCCTTCACAGTGGTACTTATGCTCAAGCAAACGATTTAACTGGTCTTTCGAGATTGACTTGCCAACCATCCATTGGGCCATCCCCAAATTATAGCAACAACTTTTGTAAAATGCGCTGCTTAAATTAACAAACTTTTACAAACAGATTTTTCACTGATTGAAATCATGAGTTAGTTGAAGCTAGACCACCATGGAAAACCTGGGAGCACTGGACGGCCGATTCATTCTAGTATGCGACTCCTCAGCAGTGCGCATCCATGATTCCACACCCCGCGAGATTAGAATCCAGGAACTATCAGTCTCGCACCAGGCGCTTAAACAGCTAGACCACTGAGCTGGCCGGTATCCAACGGTGTTAATGTCTAACTTCAACCAATCCACGAAGTTGCGCCACCGTGCATCATTGTCTTCAGTGAGTTGATATATCACAACAGACCTGGTTGAATTCCACTGGTTACGGCTTCTCATTAGAACTCCAGGAGTATCTCTTGAAGTCAGTCACTAGTGAACAGATGATTATTATCAGAAGGGGTTTTGTGAAGATTTAAGAAATTTCACTGACTGGAATCATGAGTCAATTGAAACTAGACCACTATAGAAAACCTGGAAGCACTGGACGGCGTTTCACCCTAGTATGGAAACATGGTGGAACATGGTAGTATTTGACTTGGCAAATGTCCGTCTTAAAGCCCATAGGGTTATAAACCCCTTAGCTGCAACCTTCCGGCAATGGACCGTGGTCTTAAAACCATAACTCACTGTCACCTCAAAATCCTTGTGAGACCAGATCACGGGTACAACCTACTAGGAAATCCTTAAACCATTTTAGGAGGTGCTAAGACTTTCTAGCCTCAATAGCATTCTATTTGTTGGCACCTTGTCAAATGCCTTACTGAGGTCTGTGTAGACAACGTCCACTGAGTTTCCGTTGTCTAGCGCCTTTATCCAGTAGTCCCTTACTATAAGGAGTTTTGTTGTGTAAGATAAATATTTTCTGAAACCATGTTGTTCATTGTTTGACAAATGTCATTATGGTCTGTTTGACTGTTCTTTCCAGTATTTTAATCACAACACTGATGAGGCTGACAGGGCTATAGTTCGGTGGAAGTTGTCTTGGTCCTGTTTTATGTATGGGAGTGACGATCGCATCCTTCCAGTTCATAGGTAACACACCTCGGTCAAGTGACACATTGAAAATCACGGTGAGTGGGGTTGCGATGTATTGTGCAATATGTCTCAAGATTTTGTGGCGTAGTTTATCCGGTCCTGTTGACTTTTCCATTGCTAAGGTGCCAGGAGCCTGTAGCGGTAAATAAATCCCCAAAATAACTATCTCCGTAAGTTTTCGACGTTGGATGATGACCACATTAGTTTTAATAGGCTCACCTAGCTGAGGGCGCTCGGTCATGCATCCGCACCAGATCACGAATGGGAACGCTGTGCTCAACATCCCCTGTAATTGCTAGTTAGATTAGATCAGTCGATCCACGATATATTGATAGCCTATCAAATATATATTCGAACCTCCTCGTATCTGTCTTTTGATTTCACTTGGTGGGTACGATTCATATTAGATATTACTGGTTAAAGCGTTGTCGAACTCCGAATACCTGTGGCATCTTCAAGTGTTAAGTACATCGTCTTAATGAAATTCCGCGGTGAGCGGGCGGTTAGTTGACTCTGTATTTAAGTCTATTTCTTCGTCTAGAAGAGGTTCCTGAGTGAAAACTATCGAAAAATAGTTAGCCGAAGCATCTGCTTTTTCCTGATCTTCCTCTCTCTTTTCAGGTTCACTCCCTTCTTTAATTAGGTTGGGAATCCAATGATTCATCCTTGTTCTGTAATTTATGTACAAGAATATTCTCTTAGGCTGAATGAGTGCAAATTGTTCCAAATGCATTTCATATTTTCTTTGAGCTTCCCGAATTTTAATTGTACACGTGTTTCTTCTTTTGTCTTAGTAAACGTCGAATATCCCGTCCTCTTCTTCGGGACTGTTCAAGATATGTACGGTTAAGTTACACGATTGTAAAACTGCATGAAATGAATGTTTTTTCTACTGAGGCCGTTGTGTCAATCAGTTTTTAGCGGATTGTGCAGAGTTTATCGCCTATTCATCTTCCTTCCATACGTTAGGACGGGCCGGCGCAACTGTATGACAGTCCATCTCAGAAATAACCTTGAATAAGATAACTCCATGATCGCTTCTCCCTAGAGGTGGTATGGAAGTCAGTTGACAGACGTCATGGCCATATGTGAAGACTAAGTCCAAGAGAGAAGAGGAGCTTCGTGATTCATATCTGGTGGGATCTCTAATTTGCTATAAATAAGCTAGTGCTAACAGTTTACAATCAGATGGCCTTTTCGATGGCCCTACTTTTAAGTTTACCCAGTTTATGTGCGGTGCATTAAGGTTGTCTACTATGAGACTTTTACTCCTATTACACCAGAACCAAAGTTTGCTTAGGAGAAAATAATCTGCTACACATTCTGGACTGAAACATACCACAACCGTCTACAGCCTGCAACGCATAAGTTCACATGTCCTTGAATCATGTGCGACTTTCTCAACTGCTCGTACGGTTAAGCTGGTTTTCGTGTACAGGATAATCTCCTATGGTCCAATTTATCAGTCCTACTGGATAGAAAACTAGTAGACTGAACTTCATCACCGAACACTTCTAACGTTAACCATGTTTCTGAGACAGAGGTAAGATCCGGTTTTCAGTGTCCATTATTGTTTTAAGCTCCGCCATTTTATTAGGCAGGCTGCGAGCGTTTGTGTAACACACCTTTAATTTTTGTGGCGAAACTTTCCTTACCACCCAGAGTGGCTTGGTGATCGTTTTGCTCCGAACTTTTGCCATTTGAAAACCCTTAAGAACGATGTTTAACTCCGCCTGGAGTCCCTCTGGGGGCTACTGCCGGTCCCAAATCCGGATAAAGGGGGAGGGTTGGGCATGAGGTGAGCGACCCATCCTGTAGAAAACTAACTCTCTCAAAAACACTAACCAGAAAAGTTATTCAGACCTTTTAAACTCTGTCCTGGGAGTTAGGTCTTCATTTAGAAGAATTATGACGCCTCATGGTGTAAGCCAAGTTCCTTCGGAAGCCACGAGGCTGATGCTTCTTCTGACAACCAGAGCAACCACTTACTTAGGTACATAAAATGCTCGTACAATGTGGGAGACCAGGAGAGTCTTCCAAATTGCTGCAGAAATGAGGAGATACAACCTGTAGGTGCTTGGGATCAGTGAAACACATTGGACGCAAGTTGGACAACAACGACTAGTTTCAGGGGAGCTTCTGTTATACTCCGGCCATGAAGAAGAAAATGCTCCACATGCACAAGGAGTTGCATTGATGCTTATAGGATGGTAATCTCATGAACCAAGAATCATCAAAGCCTCCTTCAAAACAAAGAAAGAAGGCATTACAATGAACGCCTTCGAATGCTATGCACCAACCAACGACTTCAATGAAGATGCTACAGATCAATTCTACAATAGGCTGCAGCCAATCGTCCAGAAGTGCCTAACAAAGGACCTGACCATTCTGATGTGAGATTTCAATGCCAAGGTTGAAATGGACAACAACGGATATGACGACATCATGGGACGATATGGACTGGGAGAAAAGAACGAAAATGGTGAGAGATTTGCAAATCTGTGCCTTCAATAATCTGGTCATAGGCGGAACTATATTCGCACATAAGTGCATACACAAAATCACATGGACTTCACCGGATCACACCACGCAAAACCAAATCGACCATATCTGCATCAACAAAAAGTTCAGGAGGACTATAGAGGACGTGAGAACCTAGAGAGGAGCTAATATAGCATCAAATCATCACATGCTGATCGCCAAAATGAAAGTGAAACTCAAGAAGTACCGGACAACGAGGCGGACAATATCACAAAAGTTTATTACTGCTTTTCTTCAGGATACTGACAAACTCAACAAATTCAAAATAGTCCTCATCAATAAATTTCAGACCTTTCATGATCTACTCAATGGAGAAGGAACTACTACGGAGAGCAACTGGAAAAGGATAAAAGAAGAAATCACTTCAACGTGTCATGAGGATCTGGGCAACAAGGAGCACTGTCACAAGGAATGGATCTCTGTTGATACACTGGATAAGATTCAAGAAAGGAGGAACAAGAAGGCAGCAATCAATACCAGTCGAACAAGAGGAGAGAAGGCCAAGTCACAAACCGAATACACAGAAGTAAACAAGCAAGTGAAGAGGAGAATAAAAACCAACAAATGTATATATGTGAAAGATCTAGTAATGACGGCGGAAAAGGCTGAATGAGGAGGAATCATGAGACAACTGTATGACACAACAAAGAAACTCGCTGGAAATTATCGCAAACCAGAACGACCAGTGAAAAGCAAGTAGTGAAGAGTAACCACCATCATCGAAGAACAACGAAACAGGTGGGTAGAACACTTCAAAGAACTCTTGAATCGATCAGCTCCACTGAACCCACCCAATATTGAAGCAGCACCCTTACTTACTTACGCCTGTTACTCCTCGTGAAGGAGCATAGGTCACTCACCAGCATTCTACATCCAACCCTGTACTGGGCAATCCTTTCTAGCTCCGTCCAGTTGTAATTCATCCTTTTCATATCTGCTTCTATAATCCGACGTAATGTGTTCTCTGGCCTTCCTTTTTTCGCTTCCCTTCAGAGTTCCAAGTTAGGGCTTGCCTCGTGATGCAGTTTGACGACTTGCGAAACGTATGTCCTATCCATTTCCATCGTCTTTTCCTAATTTCCTCTTCAGCTGGAAGTTGGTTTGTTCTCTCCCACAGAAGGCTATTGCTGATGGTATCCGGCCAGTGGATGTTGAGTATCTTGCGTAGGCAGCTATTTATAAATACTTGTACTTTCTTGATGGTTGTTGTAGTAGTTCTTCAACTTTCAGCTTCGTACAGTAGAACTGCCTTGACGTTCGTATTGAAGATTCTGACTCTGATATTGGTTGAAAGTTGTTTTGAGTTCCATATGTTCTTCAATTGTAGGAATGCGACCCTTGCTTTGCCGATCCTCGCCTTTACGTCTGCATCTGAACCTCCTTGTTCATCG